GAAGAAAAAGTAATGAAACTAACTGAAAAAAATTTCAAAAGTATGATATTTAAGTACTTTCAGAGTACTGACAGAAAAATGGAATAAATCAATGAGAACACAGAAAAAAACTTTAGAAGAAGTTAAGAAAACTCTACAAGAACAAAAAGACAAAGTCAAATTCTGAAATAATACAAAACCTACAATTAGAAATCCACAAGATTAATACTAAGTTTTCAGAAATGAACACTACATCAGAAGGGCATAGGAACAAACATGCAGCAACTGAAGTCCAAATTAATGAGCTTGAAGGGAAATCTCTCAATACTAGTATGCTAGAAGAACAATCAGAAAAAATAATGAAAAAAAATCTTAAGAAAGCCTAAGAGTTAGATAGGACACCATGAAGAGGAACAACTAATGGGTGATCGGAGTTCCAGAACAGAAAGAGACAATAAAAAGCAGAGAAAATTCCTGAAGAGTTAATGGAAGAAAACTTCCCTAACATCAGAAAGATGAGAAGAATACAAGCAGCTAAATGAACCCCAAACAGAACAGACTCCCTGATGCAAATAACCAAGACATAACCAAACTTTCCAAAATCAAAGACAGGGAAACAATCCTGAGAACAACTCGGCATATGTGTGTGTGTGTGTGTGTGTGTGTGTGAAAAGTTACCTACAAAAGAGAACCAGTAAGACTAAGGTCCAATTTCTCAGCAGAAATCATGTAGGCAAGATGGCGATGGGATGACATATACAAAACTCTAAAAGAAAAAAATTGTCAAATAAGAATCATATATACCCAGCCAGCATAGCTGTCCCTCAAATATGATGGTGAAATTAGGACATTTCTTGATAAACCGAAATAAAAGGAATTTGTAAAACCAGCCTGACTTTACAAAAAATGCTAAAGGGTTTCTTTGGTCTGAGAACCAACAACAGCAGACATCAACCTGAAATAACCATACATGACAGCACCACCCAGAACCCAATCCAAGAATAGAAGTATTTAAAGTAAAAGAAGCCTACAAGACTGAAAAAAGGGGAACAAGAAATATCAACTTACAATGACATCAACTACAAAGAAAAGGGAGGGAAGAGCTTAGATACAGAACTTCCAAACCGCAAGAACGTCAAATAGATTTCAATATAAAACCAACTGTTTTAAATGGGAGAAAATGTAATACATCACAGGGTAACCTCAAGAAAATTAATACACCTGCACATCAAAATAGATATAGGAGGAAATTGAAAGATTTTGTAAACATCAACTCAACAGAGAGTCCTGATGTGGCACTGTGGGTTAATGCACTGGACTGCAAGGGCAGCTTGAACCACAAGGTCAATGGTTCAAGCTCACCAGTCACTCGTTGGAAACTGTATACAGGGTCGCTATGAGTTGGAACCGACTCAATAGCACTTAACAACAGCAACTCAACAGAAGTGAAAATGCAAAGAAACCCCACAAACAAAATGAACTCAGCGCAGAAAATGATGTGGAATAAAGAAACCAGCAACACCACGCATAAAAAAAAATGATAGTAATCAATTCAAACCTATAGAAAATTATACTGAATGAAAATGGATTAAAGGTACCAGTCAAGATCCAGAGAAAGCAGAATGGAGAAGAAACAAGATCCTTCAATATGCTGTCTACTAGAGATACATCAAAAAGATGGAGATAACCTAAATGTTGATCAGCAGAAGAATGGTTAAACAGACATTGGTGCATATACACAATGGAAGCATACGCAATACTGAGGAGCAACAAGGAATCTGTGAAACACCTCACAACATGGGTGAACCTAGAGAACATCATGCTGGGTGAAATTAGTCAATCACAAAAGGACAAGTATTGTATTAGACCAATATTGTAAAAAGTTAAGAAAAAGATTTTCTTGATAAAAGAAGCAATCTATGATGGTTACAGGAGGAGGGTTGGGGGGAAATTATTCACGGGCTAGAGGGTTGATGTTACATATTAACCATGTTACGTATTAACATGGGTAATAAGGCAGGCAATCAATATACAACAAGAGGGAGGCAGGCAGAGGAAAGATGAGGGTAGCAGGAGGCAGAAGGAGGAGTGCAAGAGTTAACGTGAATAGAGGTAAATACTGTTAACCATTGGTACATGGTGGGGCGGGGGGACTGCTGTCACTGTAAAGAATGACGCTAAGTACATGATTTGTTGAATGTAAAAACTGATGATCGGCATTGTAAACCTTCACTCAATTGACAATAAAAGGTTCAAAAATAAATTAATAAAAAACAGCTATTTGCCATGGATAAGTCATTGGTCTTGCAAAATTCTATCATGCAATCTCTAGCATAATTTCTATCACCAAGGCCAGATACTATCCAACTATGAACCCCTTCCACTTTTGTTTCCAACCTTGGCATTCCAATCACCATTAATTACCAAATTTTAACAAATATCACCAGTAATTATCAAACTGATCAAACATCTTGGTTGCATGTTTTATCAATAGACCAAAGACGTTGGTAGAATTCTTTAATTTCATCATCACTGGTTTTAGTGGTTGGTACGGGAATTTGAATAATGCTGGCATTGATTGGTCTTCCTTGGATATTATCCGATCACGGACAGCATTCTACATCAAGACAGATCTTGGAATGTTCCTTTTGAACATCAATGCCATGCCATTCCTCTCAAATTTGTCATTCCTAGAATAGTAAACCATATGATTGTCAGACTCAAAATGGTCAATACCAGTCCATTTCTGCTCACTAACGTGGAGGATAGTGATCTTTATGCATTGCATTGTATTTTTGACAACTTCCAATTTTCCTAAGTTCATACTTGGTACATTGCACATTCCAATTATTAATAGAGGTGTGTAGCTGCTTCTCCTCATTTTGAGTTGTGCCCCACGAAGGTCCTGAAAGCTTTAGTCCATTTGCATCATCATGGTCAGTTCGACTTTCAGGTGGCTGCTACTTCCAACCTGACGGGCTCATCTTTCAGTACATTTTCTGACATGTTCCACTGCTGTTGATAAGTTCTCCAGTGGCTAAACACTCAGAAGTAGTCCGCCTGACCTTTCTTCCATGTTATGTCTTAGCTTGGAAGCTCCACTGAAACCTATCCACCATGACTGAGTGACCCTGTTGGTATTTAAAAGACTGGTGGTCCAGCTTCTAGTGTCACGCAACACGCAAGCTCCCACAGTCCCACAAACTGACACTCGAGTGGTGGTGCGCATGCTAAGAGCTCAAGAACTCACAGTGACAGCTGCTGCTCTGATGCTGGTTTTCCTCGTGAGCACAGTTAAGTGCTCTGTAATACCCATTCTTCACAGCTTATCCATGGCTTGTCATGACCCAAGTCAAAAGCCTCTGCATAGTCAATAAAATCCAGGCATCTTTCTGGTATTCTCGACTTTCAGCCAAGATCCACGTAACATCAACAATGGTATCCCTCATATGCCATTTCCTCTTCTGAATCTCGCTTGAACCTCTGGTAGTTCCCTGTCAATCAATGTACCACTGCAAATTTGTTTTACTTGCCTTTAGCAAAAGTTTACTTGCACTTTTTCTTTTTGCGGAAGACACGCTCACCACTGCAGGTTGCCTCGTTCGGCTGCTCCTGACTCATCGCTGTTCGTTCTTGCCGAGGAACAAGTCGGTCAGGAAGCCGTGACCCCACCATGGCTTTTAAGAACACTGGAAAGATGCCTGTGGAACCTGAGGTGGCCATTCACCGGATTAGAATTACTCTGACCAGCCACAACGTGAAATCGCTGGAGAAAGTGTGTGCTGACTTGATTAGAGATGCAAAAGACAAGAACCTGAGAGTGAAAGGCCCAGTTATGATGCCCACCAAGACTCTGAGAATCACAACAAGGAAGACTCCTTTTGGTGAAGGGTCTAAGACCTGGGAACACTTCCAGATGAGAATCCACAAGCGACTCATTGACTTGCACAGTCTTTCTAAGATTGTTAAACAGATCACTTACATCAGTACTGAGCCTGGAGTAGAGGTTGAAGTCACCATTGTTGATGCTTGAGTCAACTATTCTAATAAATTGAACAGCTATTGGTTTTAAAAAAAAAGAAAAAGTTTAATTGCGTGTGATGTTAATGACATAATCTGATGGTTTCAGTGTTCTGTTGGGTCACCTCTCTTTGGAATGGACACAACTATGGGCCTCTTGCAATCAGTTGGCCAGGTAGCTGTCATATGTCTTGGCATAGATGAGCCCGTGCCTCTAGTATTTCATCAGTATATGTTGAAAGATTCCAATTTGTATTTCATCAATTCCCAAAGCCTTGTTCTTTGCCAATGCCTTCAGCGCACCTTGGACTTCCTCTTTCAGTACCATTGGCTTTGATCTTGAAAAGGTGAAACATTGACTATCTCTTTTTGGTACAGTGACTCTCTGCATTCTTTCCATCTTCTTTTGATGCTTTCTGCATCATTCAATATTTTGCCCATTGTTGTTTTTAAGTACCATCAAGTTGGCTCAGACATATAGCAACTCTGTATAGGGTTTCCAAGGAGCGGCTGGTGAGCTTGAACCGCCAACCTTGCAGTTCAAACAGCTTTGCAATCTGTTCATTAACACACAGCATCACACCAGGACTACGTTTTTTATTTTGCCCACAGAATCCTTTAAAATTTCAAGTTGAGGTTTGAATTTTTTCCTTCCGTTCCCTCAGCTTGAGAAAGGCTGAGCATGTTCTTCCCTTTTGGTTTCCTAACTCCAGGTCTTTGCACATTTCCCTGTAATACTTGACTTTGTCTTCTTGAGCTGCCCTTTGACATTTTCTCTTCAGCTCTTTTACCAGTATCTAGTTTTACACTTTAATACAGAAAAGCATTCGAGAGAGACACGATACCGGATATCTGGATCTATACAAAGGAATAACAGAATACACAAAGGAGTGGAGACACCTGGGAGAGCTAAGTGCATGAGTAAACACACAGCATTTATTTATATATATTTTGGGGGGGGGCGGGGGGGATCATTTAAAAATATAATCAGTAGCAGTGTGTTAAGGACTCAGCTGGTAACCATAAGCTGAGTTAGAATTCACCAGCCATTGGTTGAATACAGCAGCAGAAAGATGGTAGCAGCAGGGTGTAATCTTCCATGAAGAGTCCATCCTTGGAAACCCCTGGGGCAGTTCCACTCTGTCCTTTAAGGGTTGCCATGAGCTGGCACCTCCTCAGTGGCACACAACAACAACAATGCTTTAAGAGGAAAAAATGTATGGCAGAGTTTCTAATAAAAGGCAAAACAAACTACAGGACAGTATTCTCACAAAGACTGGAAAAGGAGATAATCTGTATGTTGCTGTCTGTTGTTGAGTGCTTTATAAGTAAGTTACTTACAACTCATAGCGACCCTCTGCACAATAGAACGGACCACCATCCTCGCCCTCGTCTGCGCCATTCTCACAATTGTTATGTTTGAGCCCATTATTGCTACCATCATGTCAATCCATCTCATGGGGTCTTCCCCTTCTGTGAAAACCCTCCACATTACCAAGCATGTGTTCTTCCTCCAAGGACTGGTCTCTCCTGACAGCATGTCCAAAATATAAGATGAAGTCTCACTACACTTGTTTCTAAGGCTGTACTTCTTCCAACACAGATCTGTTTGTTCTTCTGGCAGTCCATGATACTTTCAATATTCTCCTCCAACACCAGAACTCAAATGCATCAATTCTTCTACGGTCTTCCTTACTCACCGTCCAGCTTTAGCATCCATATGAGGTTATTGAAAATACCATGGCGTGAGTCAGGTGCACCTTAGTCCTCAAACTGACATCTTTGCTCTTCAACACTTTAAAGAGGTCTTGTACAGCAAATTTACCTAATGCAGTATGTGATTTGATTTCTTGACCGTTGCTTCCATGAGTATTGATTGTGAATCCAAGCAAAATGAAGTCCTTGACAACTTCAATCTTTTCTCTATATGTTATTTTTCGTTCCAGTTAAAAGGATATTTCTTTTCTTTAAAATCTTCACATTGAGGTGCAATCTATATTGAGGGCATCGATCTTCATCATGCGGTTAGCAGTCCAGTACCAGTACTTTTAGACTACAGAAATACCTGTGTCCTTTGCAAAAGCACTGTGAGGTCTTGCATTTTCCTTCAGCAAACAAGCCTCCACGGTATGTCTGGGCTTTTGTTGTTCTAACTACTCCTTAACTGCACGTTAATATTTTATAGTACTTACAATCAGTGCCCAGAATTTGAAGGCACTGCATTTGGCATCGTGAACAGCAGGACTAGGCTTAGGGAGTGGAGTTCGGCAAGGTTACTATTCAGTCCATCACAGACCTTCTCTCTAGAGGAACTGAATTTGTGTTTCAAAGTAGTTCACTTCAGAAATTTCAACAACGTGTCCACAGTTGCCTAACCTGGACAGAAAATAAAACTGCAATGTGTGAAATCCCAAATCCAAGGATTTGCTGAGGAGCCTAGGTGACAAGTCTCACCCACAACATCTATCTGGCACCCTTACTGGAACACCTTGGGTGGAGGAAAACACTGCCCACTCCTTTTGGCATTATTAACACAATGCCAGGCGGTACATCTACCACCTGCCAAACCGACCTGAGGTCTCCTCACCATCAATCCCAGAATTCGAACTTCCTCTCTCCCTGGCAATGTTCCTGGAAGTATAGTTCACATTGAGATAGTCCATCTTACACATAGTACATGAGAGAAAAGGTGCAGACTTCAGGGGCCAGCGACTCTGCTGATGGGTGCTGCTCCCAATGAGACAACCAACGAGCTTGTAGAAGGAATCCCTGGACTGAGAGCACTGGAGGAGACCAAAGAAAAGGAGGCTGCCAGCCAGAGGAAAAGAAATTATCATCAGCTAGTGAGACTCTAAAACAGATTATCTCTTTGAGTCTGAATGCCAGCCCATGAGGGCGGTATGGATGGTGTGCTGATTGTACAGATGAGCAAACTGATTAAGGAGTTGCTGCTAGTTACATGGCTAATAAGCAACTGAACTGGCAGTCAGACCAGACAGGTCTGACTGATTCCTGAGCCCAGGCTCCTAACCACCAAGTAATTGTCCAACCCCTCCCTGATCCCAACTAACCTAGAAGCTCCGTGGAGGGAAAAGGACATAGCATGGTATCACTACTGTCTGGTACACTGTCTAGCACCCTATAAATAAGGTCCTGTAAGTGAGGTGAAGTGAAGGTCCTGTAAGTGAAGGTGATGTCATTCCTAACCTTGGCAGTGATGCTCATATTGCTAGTTTTCTGAATTTTGCTTTGCGAGCTAATTATGTTCCCTTTCTTACAATCCAGAGGTAATTACAAGAGATAAGCTTTTATTTGATAAAATGCAATGAAATGCCTAGAAAATGTTAGTCTCAGTGACATTGTTTTTGCGATTGCTAGTGATTAGGGGGTAAGGAAGAACAAAAGTTCTTCTCCGTGCCTCTACTAGGGTAAAGCAGAGATGCACATCCAGACCGCGGGTGTGGTTCGGAGATGCCTGCCCCTACTTGGTCAAACCAACTTTGCAGTCCAGCGCATTAACCTTCGGCCCTGTAGGGTCGCAGTCCAGTGCATTAATCTGTCCTGTAGGGTCGCAGTCCCCGCATTAACCTGCCCTGTAGGGTTGCAGTCAGATGCGTTAACCTGCCCTGTAGGGTCATTACAAGTCGGGATTGACTCAGTGACAGAGGATTTTGCAGTTTTTAATGAAAAAGGATTTTATTTTACAATGTTTTCAAGATGATTGATTCTCCACGATTTTCCAGAAAATGAATGAACTGAGATAATAATAGCTCAATATTATTAATACTCTTAATCTATGAAAAGGCTGTGTTCTAAAGATTGCATGTCTATTGCTTGAATCTCTGAATATATTTCTGTATAAAAATATGAGAGGGCTTCAAAAAGTTCATGGAAAAAAATCACTATCTTTTCACTGCATTTTCTCACAAACTTTTTGAAGCCCTTCTGTAATGTTTCACTTAGCTGGATAACCCGTCAGCCCACAGGAGCACGGATGCTCCTATCCTGGCTCTAAAGCAGCACCACTGAACCTAGCCACCAAGGGGAGCATTTGCAAACACAAAGGCACAAACAGACCTCCAAGCCCTGGCAGCCAGCAGGAGAGGCTGCCCATACCTGCAAAGGCAGTCAGTGTCTACCAAAATCCCACCACCAGAACCTCTGTGGTGACTAGTGGAAGACACGGTGGGGAGGAAGGGAGAAGAGAGGAGAGAGAGAAACGGACCCTTAGGCTAAGAGTCGGATATGTCCATAAATGGTAGGCCACTTCACAAGTCCAAAGATGGACCCAGCTCTTCCTCTTTGCACCAACTGCTCTGACCAGCATTCCTCTCACACTCAGAAACCTGGTAAAACAGAAAGGACTTCACAGCCTTTTCTCTTCATCACTGGTCCTAAAGGACAATGTGTCTTTTTAAGGTTCCCCTTTCCCTCCACTTTATAATCAGCAATAAATGGAAAGCGCACATGGAACAAAAGGGCTCTTTTCTCCTTGGTGAACTCTCATCTCTGTCTCCCTCTGGAGGCCATCAGTTACGACACCTTTATGAACTAGGTGCCTCTCCAGACACCAGGGCACAGAGGTGAGTGGGATGGGGCCTGGGCCTCACGGAGAATGTGGACAAGATCTGAGCTACCTGAACAGTCCACCTGATGGCTAAGAACATAGGGTTCCAATGCTGCTGCCCCAACAGCTAGCTGTGTGTCAGGACGAGACCCTGCATGGCCCCAAGTTTCTCTATGGGACGGCGCAGAGTTGTGCACAATAGGGTTATGGCCAAGGACACAGACCTGAACCTGCTGGGAGGATAAAGCAGAGCTGCCCCTAGAGGGTTTCCAAGGCGGAAATCTTTTTTTTTTGCTCTTTTTTCTGAGTCTGGAATTAGGCTTAAGACTATGGCTAGCACTAGGGCTAGGCTAGACTAGGGTTAGGGTTTCATGGAGTGTTAGGATTTGGGTTAAGACTAGGGTTAAGAGTAAGGGTAAGGATTGGGCTTGGTGTAATTTTAGTGT